AAAATTAAAAATTAAAAAATAAAAAATATATTTAACATTATTTGTCAGTGGACACAAAGTAGCAACATGGACAAAAAATCAAAACTTATACATCTGCAGTGAGGAATAACCAACTGATTAATGACTTGTGAGCAATTAGTATTTAAGGTTGGTGAGGACAAGAAAGCTGTCCACACCCTGAAATCTTACAGTCTTACAAAAATACCTGAGGGTGGCCTGGGTGGCTAAGTCAGTTAAGTGTCTGCGTTCGGCTCAGGTCATGATCTCAGGGTCCTGGAATCAAGCCCTGTGTGAGGCTCCTGGCTCAGCTGGGAGTCTGCTTCTCCCTCTGCCCCTCCCCCCCTCGGGCTCTCACACTCTCTCTCTCTCAAATAAATAAATAAATCTTTAAAAAAAACTTGAAAAAGATTTTACCGAATTTTACAATAATTCTAAAATTTAAGTGACATTTCCAATAACAAGTTGTGAAGCATAAAGAAACATTTCTAACCTATTGAAATAAAAAGATCAACCATCGATGCAAGAGGAATAACCAAATTATCTTTTTCTTCTCTCCAACAAAATTGATATTTTAAAGTTATTAGAATATGATGGGGTAATCAAAGAGGTCTCCAGAGTAGAGGGGGAAAGGAGATTTCAGTCAGGCATTAATGAAAACAGTATGCTAATTTTCTGGATTTTGAGAAGTATTAGGTATTTGTCATTTTTAAAAATTTATAACTTGTTAACATTTCTTTTTTCATCCATCTTTCATGAGGAGCATGACAGAAAATGCCTAGGCAGGTTCTATTTTTTTCATACTAAGACTGGGAGATAATTAGGACAAAATGGTCACAACTGTGCCTTCTGGGGTGGTCAGAATGTGAGTTTAAATTGTTATTTTTTGTGGGTTTCTGGGGTTTTCTTAAATTGCTTTTAAAAATTTCTTTTTAAGGGCACCTGGGTGGCTCAGTTGGTTAAGCGTCTGCCTTTGGCTCAGGTCACGATCCCAGGGTCCTGGGATCAAGCCCCGCATCGGGCTCCCTGCTCCGCGGGAAGCCTGCTTCTTCCTCTCCCACTCCCCCTGCTTGTGTTCCCTCTCTCGCTGTGTCTCTCTCTCTCTATCAAATAAATAAATAAAATCTTTTTTAAAAACTTTCTTTCTATAACACATTGCTATAAAGAGAGTACATTAGAGCAGGAGTCAGAGGCAGATGAGGGCTCTACCAAAACTCTCGAACTTAGTAATTGTGTGACTGCAGCAGATACCCTCCTTGACATGAGCCTGAGTTTTATCTATAGAATGTGACTCAAGTCACCCGTCCTTCCTGGTACCTAGGTTTTGTACAAGGATGAAAATAAGAAGTAAAAGGCTTTATAAGTTATAAAATAATTAATAAGCATAGTATTATTTATTCCACTCGCATTCATAATTTTAGAAACTTTTTGTAGGAAAGGATGAATCTAGTATATATTTTCACCAAGTGGTAGAACTAGTGATTCGCTTTATGAACTTGTATTTTCTTCAATTCTGTATGGGTTATTTTTGCTCTGAATCACTCAGCTATTTATTCTCCATTTTATGGATTCGAAATATGTCTTTGGTAGAGCCAAAGTACACTTTCAGTAATTTGAGGTAATAGCTGTATCCAGAAACTTAGAATGATAATCCTATAGTCATATGAATCTTGTACTTTTTGTCTCCTTTCAGGTCAATGGTGATATTCCCCCTCGGTTAAAAAAAAGTGCTCATGAAATCATCCTGGACTTCATCAGATCAAGACCCCCTTTAAATCCGGTATGTGATCTGAGTGTTCCCCTTGGTTGGAGGTCACATAGCAATGTGCTGTCCTCTAGGACATGGTCTCTAGAACTCCGCTCTCGTAGTTTTTACACGGAGTTTTACACAGATCTTTTATTCTTAGAATGATGAAGCCTAACTGTAAGTTATACTCTTCAGTCACAGAAAAAATACTTAAAATTATTCAGTACAAAGCTGTCTTAAGATGATTTAACTCAAAACAACCTGAGTTATGGTGCAGTTTAGTAGCCACATGTCCCTAAGCAAATTAATCAGCCTCTCTGAGCCTTTATTTCTTCAACTATAGAAAGAAGATAACAAGAGTAATCTAAGAAGGTTGTGATGATTTACTCAAAAATGTTACTTTTAAAAACAGTAATAGTAATAGATAAAGTATAGGTTACATTTCAATTGATTGCCTATCATGGTAGCATATTGTGAACATAATTATAACTTCAGCAAAACTGACTCCTTACAATTGGTTGAGCACATATGACTGTTACTGTGAAATCCAGTAATCTCCCTATTGCTTAAAGTAGTCCTTTATCAGTGTTGCAATCAATGAAATACAATTGTACTGTACTATAGGAATGGACTTCAGTAAGAATTATTTAAAGACATCCACTGAAGTCTTTAGCCGTTACTTTTTTTCCCCCCAAGGTCTCAGCCAGAAAACTGAAACCCACTCCACCACGGCCACGGAGCCTCCATGAAAGAATATTAGAAGAAATTAAAGCAGAGAGAAAGCTGCGGCCCGTCTCACCAGAGGAGATGAGACGCAGCAGATTAGGTGAGTCAGCTGCTTACTGCACTGCTGGTCTAGCCTCAGCCACTTGAACCAGTGTCTCTATACAGCCAGCCCAGCGAAAAGTAGTGGCATAATGGTGCAAAGTAAAAACAGTGTTTGTTCCTCTCTCTCTCTCTCTCTCTCTCACACACACACACACATACACACTCGAAGTTTATACTTGAAATTCACAGAATAGGAAATTCTTTCCCCATATGATACTGGACTACATAAGAGCATCATGGCTTAGTGGGAATTGCTCTGCCATTCTCTAGACTGTGGTTTTAGAAGAGTCCCTTTACCTCTGTGAGTGTTGATTTCTTCATTGGCAGAAGGAGTATAAAAATTCCTCTGCACTTTAATTATGGCTTTTATGTAAGAATTAAATAGGATTGTGGTCAAAATACATCATAAATTGTAATACATATACAAAGCTATTATGTTTTAGAAATATGATATATAGTTTTACTTCACGTTTCTGTTGTCTTAATTATCAGTTTAAAGATACAGTATTATGTGATGAAAGCAGTGATTGTTATCTGATATCACTTAACTTATTCCCGAGCTTTCTTTATATTTATTTAATGTTTTTTAATGTGTACTATAAATACACATTGATTTTGATTTATAGCAAGACCATACTATAAACTGGTTGTAAACATTTTTGTTTATACAGCTCTCCACCTATTTGTAAGATTAAAGATGCCCAAAGGATTCAGAGAAACTTCCTTTAGGAAAACAGATGATAGTGGCATCTGAACAGGAAAGGAACCACACTCTCCCAGTTTTCTCCCCTGATATCTTTTCCTGCCTCTTTTAGACTCTGCTTGGTCCTTCAGATTTCTATCCTGGGCTCACCTCTCTTTGAGCAACTGTACCCTTTTCCATGGTTTTTGTTCTGGCTACTAAAGCTCCCATCTATGCACCAATCTCTCTGAGCGCACACCCGTTCATCCAGCTGTCTGCTAGCTAGGGCCTACAGCAGGACAGGAGAACCCATCTGTTTTCTCCCAAACCATCTTCTCCTGTTTCCCCATCTCAGTGTGCTCAACGCAGAACTTCTGTGTCGTCTCTGACTTCTACCTAACAGCCAAGCCCTGTTGATGTTTCTCATTCTAGATCTTGTTAGTTTCCTCCCAACACTATCCTAACCCAGCCTGTCATCTTCTTTGTCTAGTTTATCACATCAGCTTTGACTGCTGTCCCTGCTTCCAGCCTGGAATTCTTCAGTCATGTCATGTTGGTATCCTCTTGTTAGATTCTCAGCCCTTCTTTTACCTTGTGACCTTCTTGCCAGCAGGGCCCACATTCTTCTTGTTCATTGTTGTAGAAGTGCTCCCATAGGTGCTGCAGTAATTGAATTCCCATAGGTGCTGCAGTAATTGAATGTACCTTCCAGTTACAAAGCTACTGAGTGAGTAAAGGTTGTATCAATTTATCCCTGTCCTATCCCTTTTATGGCAGCAAGTGTTATCTCTTAAAAATAATGTTTAAAGCATGCTAAGTGACAAATCCATATAAGCATTTGTATAATAATGAACTAAAACACAGAAGCCATGTGCACCAGGAGTTAGTATCCTGAGAGTCCTTGAATGGGGCTGACGAAAGTCTGTGAATCCCCTGAAATATAAAAAATGTGTGTTTATTTCACAAAGTGTATGTATGTGAATTTTTCTGGAGAGAGGTCCAGAGCTTTCCTCAGTTTCCTAAAGAGTACACAGCCTCAAAGAGTAAGAACCACTGTGGAAAAATAAGTGGTATTATGGGATGCTAGCTTAAGACTGGATTTTTTTAAATTGGTATACCTTGAAAAGAAACAGTGGGGATAAAGGATAAGATTTCAACAAAACTATGAGACAAAACAAATATGTTACCATGAGAAAAGTAAGCTTCATGATTTACAGGAGTACAGAGTAATTAGGCTGAGGGATTGTCAGCTTCAGTGGAAGTACCAATAGAATAGAGAAAGGAGCAAGATAGGCATAATGTTCTTATACAGTGTGGATGATATTTGACATATAGTTCCTTCACTTTTCTAATAGTTTTTGAACCTTTACTTTCTGTTAAAAACCATGTCATCTCCTGAGGTGCAGAGATAGCAGGAAGGGAAGACTGAAGGAGGGGGAAATCAGAGGGGGAGACGAACCATGAGAGACTATGGACTCTGAGAAACAAACTGAGGGTTCTAGAGGGGAGGGGGGTGGGAGGATGGGTTAGCCTGGTGATGGGTATTAAAGAGGGCACGTTCTGCATGGAGCACTGGGTGTTATATGCAAACAATGAATCATGGAACACTACATCAAAAACTAATGATGTAATGTATGGTGATTAACATAACAATAAAAATTTAAAAAAATAATGCTTGCCCACAGATGCTTACAGAATGACTCTGGAGTGTTATGTATGTTCATGCTGCAAGACCATTACCAGCAGCCAATCAGAAGGCGTTAGTGAGGCCATCTGAGGGAGACACTAGCAGTCCTTCTAAGTGTCAAGGGGACACCCTCATTGCTTAAAAGAGTAATTGTAAGCCTTTGTCACATACATATTCTTCTATTTCATTTTAAACAAATTAGATGCTAAATATCAGGAAACCTACTTTAGAAAATAATTAAATATCAGGAGTGCCTGGGTGGCTCAGTCTGTTAAGTGACCAACTCTTGGTCCTGATCACATGGCTCCTAGGATGGAGCCCCATGTCGGGCTCCAAGCTCAGCACAGGAGTCTACTTGGATATTCTCTCCCTTTGCCCCTTCCCCCACTCGCACGCTGGCGCTCTCTGTCTCTCTCTCACGCTCAAATAAATAAATCTTTTAAAAAAACAACTAAATATCAATTTTATGTTGCGAGCATATCTTACTATTTTATTTTTTATTTTAACCTTATAAATGGTGTTTCACAACCATCAGAATTGACCTGTTACAGAAAGTAATTGTTCATTCTGTGAGAATCTTCTACAATTCTGCTTTCAAACTGATCTTGAATCTTATTGGAAAGTAAGGGATTTGGGTTAATTTCTGAATGAATCATTGGTTCTTACCATACAGTTTTGCTTTGAGGAGTTTGATTAGGATGAGGTTGGCAGAATGAACTTGAGGAGACGTTTTCCTAAATATTTTTATAACCTTTTCCCTCCATGTAATTGTGAGCAGAATCCCACTATAGAAATTGGGGAAATGTGTAAATGTTTAAAGAAATGTTACCCATAATTTCAACAGCCAGAAGCATCCACTGTGAATCTACTTGTGCAGTATGAAATGGAGACGAGAACTGTATGCACAGTATTCTGTTCTCTTCACTTAACATTGTATGTGATGTGAACATCTTCCCATGTCATTAAATAGGCCCTTGTATCCTGACATATGGCTAAATTTATTTCCCTATTGTTTGACAGACTCTCCATTTTTTTTCCTGTCAAGTCTGAAAATACTATTCTTGTGCATCAGTCTTTGTTCATGTCCAGTCATTTTCTTTTTCCTAACATCTCATACTGAATTAAGACTTTGGGTTTTAAATATAAATTGTACCTTTAAAAAGGATCTTTTCCATAAACTTCTGAATTGCTGTTATGCTTGATTTCTCTCCTCTTTGTGATATACAGAACTTGGAAAAGATCCAAACCTCATCCTCCAAGAAATAATAGCATCCCTTTCTTATGTAGTAGTCAATCATATTTCAAAAGATAGATTTATGTATCAGAGAAGAACAGAATGAGAAGATATTAGAGAAGGGTGGCAAGTGCTTTGAGAATACATTGTCTTTTATTTGCTATGTATAATTAGGAAAATCTAGAGTTCATAGTATTTGAATTCAGAAATGCAGGCTTTTAAACTGTGGAAAGAGCCAAGATGTCCATCGACAGATGAATGGATAAAGAAGATGTGGTATATATACACAATGGAATATTATGCAGCCATCAAAAGGAATGAGATCTTGCCATTTGCAACGACATGGAACTGGAGGGTGTTATGCTGAGTGAAATAAGTCAATCAGAGAAAGACATGTATCATATGACCTCACTGATATGAGGAATTCTTTTTTTTTAAGATTTTATTTATTTATTTCAGAGATAGAGAGAATGAGAGATAGAAAACACGAGAGGGAAGAGGGTCAGAGGGAGAAGCAGACTCCCTTCTGAGCAGGAAGCCCGATGTGGGACTCGACCCCAGGACTCCAGGATTATGACCTGAGCCGAAGGCAGTCGCTTAACCACCTGAGCCACCCAGGCGCCCCTGATATGAGGAATTCTTAATCTCAGGAAACAAACTGAGGGTTGCTGGAATGATGGGGGGTGGGAGGGATGGGGTGGCTGGTGATAGACATTGGGGAGGGTATGTGCTATGGTGAGTGTTGTGAATTGTGCAAGACTGTTGAATCACAGATCTGTACTTCTGAAACAAATAATGCAATATATGTTAAGAAAAAAAGAAGAAGAAGATAGCAGGAGGGGAAGAATGAAGGGGAGTAAGTTGGAGGGGGAGACGAACCATGAGAGAGGATGGACTCTGAAAAACAAACTGAAGGTTCTAGAGGGGAGGGGGGTGGGGGGATGGGTTAGCCTGGTGATGGGTATTAAAGAGGGCACATTCTGCGTGGAGCACTGGGTGTTATACACAAACAATGAATCATGGAACGCTACATCAAAAACTAATGATGTAATGTATGGTGATTAACATAACAATAAAAAATTAAAAAAATATATATGCTTGGGAAAAAAAAGAAATGCAGGCTTTTTTATGATTCACAGATATTTATTTGAAAACCACACACTAATGCATATATAAATACTATGATCCGATCAATCAGATTATGGACAGCAGAAACTGGATATTTACTTCTGCAAGGGTTAATTGTAATATTCCTTCATAGAAGTCTTAAATATAATTAATTATAAACAATTACAATTAATAATTGTTTAGATTTTTCTTTAGAAAAACATTAAAAATTAAATTTGAAGCACTTCTGTAAAATCAGCATTTTGAAGTAGAACACTTATTTCTTCA